CACTGGCACATGCCCCTGGCCGGAAGTGAACCTAGGACCCTTCAGTCCACAGGGAAATGCTCTATCCACTGAGCCAAGCCAGCAAGGGCTTACATAGGTCGTTTGTCTGTGATCTCATTTGTTTTTTGTTGTTCTACAACAGTGTTGATCATCAACTTTTGTGTTTTTCTTTGAAGATTTGCATCATTTATCGGATAAATGTCTCAAGTGCGATTTAAGAGGAAGAATCATTTGTGCATCACAGAAGAAACATGACTTTATTTATTTATTTTTAAATGTATTTTATTGATTTTTTTATAGAGAGGTAGGGAGAGGGATAGGGAGTTAGAAACATCAAGTAGGGAGAAACATCGATTAGCTGCCTCCTGTACATCCCCTTCTGGGAGTGAACCCAAAACCAAGGTACATGCCCTTGACCGAAATCAAACCTGGGACCCTTCACTCCGCAGGCTGACGCTCTGTCACTGAGCCAAACTGGTTAGGGCGAAACAGGACTTTATTAATGACACAGTGGACCCACTGGCGAACTTGCCTTGGAGAAGGGTCATTGGGGAGGAATTCTCGGCTGGCCTTTGTTACATTCATAGCTAGAAACCCAGTGTTTTCTTTTTTTAATATATTTTATTGATATTTTACAGAGAGGAAGGGAGAGGGACAGAGAGCTAGAAGCATCAATGAGAGAGAAACATCGATCAGCTGCCTCCTGCACACCTCCCACTGGGGACGTGCCCGCAACCAAGGCACATGCCCTTGACCAGAATTGAACCCGGGACCCTTCAATCCGAAGGCCGACACTCTATCCACTGAGCCAAACCGGTCAGGGCAACCCAGTGTTTTCTTAAAGTTGCCCATGCCTCACCCATTTATGCTTGTTTGTGGTTATTGTTGATATTTTGCCAACTACTCAGTTCTAATAGTGATCATTTCCACTCGGATTCCCAGCTCATGGATAATCTTAACCTCTCTGGATTTTGCACCTCTGCCTCTTTCACACGTCTCTCTTTACTGCACTCCAACGTTGGTCCATAGCTGAAGCACCTTGTAGTGCACACGTTATTATATTGACTTTGAACTCCTCATGTGCTCTAATACAATTAATTTTTATGACTTTGAGCCGCTTTAAATTATTCTACACAGACTCACATGGCCAGCATGTAAGGTCCTAAAGGATGCCGTTTGTGCAGGAACAATGAGGAGAGTCTTCCTGTCTTCTTTGTGTCCCATCCTGTGCTTCTGTCCCTCTCTTGGTTTGCTTTTCATCATTGACTGACTTTTGGGGCCACGATATATATATATAACAGCAATTTCCTCAGAGTATACCTGAGTGGTACTTAAAATCTTTCTATGGCATCAGGTCTAGTCATGAAAGATAAACATTTGTGATGAAGATATTCTGTTTTCATAGGATCAACATGTACTTCACCAGTGTTTCCTTTTGTTCAGGTTGCTGCTGTGGAGCAGAGAATGTGGAGGCAGCGACTGAACAGAACGTTTTTGTAAGAGTGTCACACACAAGGACTCCCAAGTTAGCCTCGTCTTCCCAGAAGAGCCACCCCTGTGAGAGTTGTGGGTTAGTCTTGGGAAACATTTTCCACGTAATGGAGGGGCAGGGGACACAACAGGGACATATACTGTTGAGGTGTGGGGCATGTGCAAAACAGTTTTACTTAAGTATAAAATTTCACCAACACCATGTGAGCGAGAAGACTTTCATTAGAGGTGTGGATAGGATCTCCCTTGCAAATAGCTGCAATTTCAATGTGTCCCAGAATCATTTCACATGTGAGGAGGTTGGGCAGGGTGTCCTTACCAGGTCAGGACATCTCCACCTAAAAGCTCCTCAGACCATTGACAGTCCAAATGCTATTTCTACACGTGGGATGACATTTCAAAGGACAAACAATTATTACACCAGAAAAGACTGTAAGAAAGACATTACTTGCACCCACACGTTTATTCAGGAAAAGGATGTCAATGTTGGAAATCAATGTTTCGTGTGCTCTGAATGTGGGAAATATTTTACCAAATTTTCTAGCTTTCATTATCTACAGCGAGATCACACTGGAGAAAGGCCTTATGAGTGCAGTGAATATGGGAAAGCTTTTAGCAGTATTAACAGCCTAGGTGAATATGAAGCTTTGCACACTGAAGAAAGGCCTTATGAGCGCAGTGAATGTGGAAAATCCTTTACCAATAGCAGTGCTGTCCATTATGATCAGAGAGTGCTCACAGGAGAAAGGCCTTATGAGTACAATGAGTTTGGGAAATCTTTTACCAGCAGCAGTAACATTCATTGTCTTCAGAGCATTCACACTGGAGAAAAGCCTTATTTATGTAGTGAATTTGGGAAACCTTATACCTGTAGCACTAAACTTTGCCGTCATCAGAGAGTGCACACTGGAGAAAGGCCTTATCACTGCAGTGAATGTGGGAAATCTTTTACCACCAGCAATAAACTGTATCATCATCAGAGAGTTCATACAGGAGAAAAGCCTAATAAATGCAGTGAATGTGGGAAATCTTTTACCACTAAGTTCCACCTTCACAGTCATCAGAGAGTTCACACAGGAGAAAAGCCTTATAAATGCAGTGAATGTGGGAAATCTTTTACCACTAAGACCAACCTTCGTACTCATCAGAGAGTTCATACAGGAGAAAAGCCTTTTAAATGCACTGAATGTGAGAAATCTTTTACCACCAAGACCAATCTTCATATTCATCATAGAGTTCACACAGGAGAAAAGCCTTATAAATGCAGTGAATGTGGGAAATCTTTTACCACTAAGTTCCACCTTCACAGTCATCAGAGAGTTCACACAGGAGAAAAGCCTTATAAATGCAGTGAATGTGGGAAATATTTTACCACTAAGACCAACCTTCGAACTCATCAGAGAGTTCATACAGGAGAAAAGCCTTTTAAATGCACTGAATGTGGGAAATCTTTTACCACCAAGACGATTCTTGGTATTCATCAGAGAGTTCACACAGGAGAAAAGCCGTATAAATGCAGTGAATGTGGGAAATCTTTTACCACTAAGTTCCACCTTCACAGTCATCAGAGAGTTCACACTGGAGAAAAGCCGTATAAATGCAGTGAATGTGGGAAACCTTTTACCAGTAAGTTCCACCTTCACAGTCATCAGAGAGTTCACACTGGAGAAAAGCCGTATAAATGCAGTGAATGTGGGAAATCTTTTACCACTAAGACCAACCTTCGTACTCATCAGAGAGTTCATACAGGAGAAAAGCCTTTTAAATGCACTGAATGTGGCAAATCTTTTACCACCAAGACCAACCTTCGTATTCATCAGAGAGTTCACACAGGAGAAAAGCCGTATAAATGCAGTGAATGTGCTAAGTCTTTTACCACTAAGTTCCACCTTCACAGTCATCAGAGAGTTCACACTGGAGAAAAGCCCTATAAATGCAGTGAATGTGGGAAATCTTTTACCACTAAATTCCACCGTCACAATCATCAGAGAGTTCACACTGGAGAAAAGCCTTATAAATGCAGTGAATGTGGGAAATGTTTTACCTGGAGCATTGACCTTCATCGTCATCAGAGTGTTCACACAGGAGAAAAGACTTATCAATGCAGTGACAGTGGGAAAAGTTTCATACATACTGATTCTCTCCAAAATCATCAGACAGTTCATACAGGAGAAAAGCCTTATAAATGCCATGCATGTGGAAAATCGTTTGCATGTCGTAATGGTCTGCAGTATCATCTAAGAGTTCATACAGCAGAAAAGCCTTATAAATGCAGTGATTGGGAAATTTTATACCAGTAACACCAACCTTCGCCTTCATCAGAGAGTTCATACAGGAGAAAATGCTTATAAATGCAGTGACTGTGGAAATTCTTTTACTACTAACTCTCACCTTCATCGTCATCAGAGTTCACACAGGAGAAAGTCTTTATGAGTGTAATTAATGTGAGATATCTCTGCCTAGTTTGTAAATTCGCTCTGCACAAAAGAGTCCAAATGTGAAAAAATTCTTAGATGTGTTGAAAATGTAGATTCTTAGTTGGGACTTAACAATTGTATAAGAAAATATATGAAGTCTCATTACTCTGAATTTTATCTCATATGTTTAATCACCTACATTATGTAACGTACCCGCAACTATTTTTACTGTTCTGTTTTCTTGTTTGTGTGTTGTAACCATATGTATCTATGTTGGACTTTTTAATATACAGAGCTGTCTTGCCAGGTCTATGTCATTGCATATTTCTGTTGCTGAAGGTATTTCACCTGAACCACTTATAAAGCCTCTACAGATGGCATCATTCACCATCCTCATGGGCCCAGGGAAGCTAACTCTGTTGTCTAATTTGTTGAAGAAATTAGGAATACCTGGGTCCTTAGTGTTACTTGTTTCTCTGTCGTGAGTTGCCATGTAGAACTGATTACTATTGGCCCCAGTAAACATAATCTTGCAGAGGGCCTGCCATTTTCAGGGACAAGCTTTCCCTAGATGCCATTGCGGAATTTATTGAGTGTCTAAGTGACCAGTGAAAGAACTCCCAGTGTCACGGCTCTTTCCTTGCAAAATAATGAAGCCTTTTCCATAAGACTTCTTTAATGTTGGGTGTTCAATTGACTCTATGGCTTAGTTTATAAGGAGATATGGGCTCTCCAAGCATGATGATGTGAAAAACTTATATGTAGTCTCAAACATTTTTGCCCTTTGGGGAAGACTATGGTGCAGAAATTGGCTCAGCAGTTTTTGCAAAATTTACATTGCTGCCCATAATTTCACAGGAAACACTGTAGACCAGGGGTGGGCAAACTTTTTGACTCGGGGGCCACAATGGGTTCTTAAACTGGACCGAGGGCCGGAACAAAAGCATGGATGGAGTGTTTGTGTGAACTGATATAAATTCAAAGTAAACATCATTACATAAAAGGATACGGTCTTTTTTTTTTTTTTTTTTTGTTTTTTTTCATTTCAAACGGGCCGGATCTGGCCCGCGGGCCGTAGTTTGCCCACGGCTGCTGTAGACTCTCTAGTCCTCATGTGAACAGGGATGCATTGTGACACAGAGATCACTCCAAAGAAGTGACAACCTCAAGTATGTTTTCTAGCAGCTTGAATGTTTTTCTTGTTTTTAAGGAATGCTAAGACATTTGAAGGGAACCTCCTGTCCAGGTCTTGCAGAGGGCCATGTGCCATAATGCCTACAGTTACATGGATGATAGACACTGGTTTTAGAACCATTGCAGTGAGGGGAAACTGTTTCACTGCAGAAACACTGATTTAATTCCTGTTGGACCAGACTGCAGTCCAGTAGATGGAATGGTCTTCATCTAAACCTGCACCAAGAAATTTTTTTGAGGAAAAGACTACAGGACCCATGTGTACACAGATCTGAGGGACATCTGGGTATGTTTATCTTCTGTGGAGCAGTCATTGTCCTTGATTATAATCAAGATGTTTTGTGTCTTCCTGTAGCTTCTCAGATATTCCCATCAGAGCCATTGGTGCTCTGGCAGCAAAACTTAGTGGAAATCAAAGGGTGTCTTGAATCCAGGGATGTGGCTTTTGTGACCCAGCCAGCATTCTTGTTGATTTGGGTCCGTGGTCAGCAAACTGCGGCTCACGAGCCACATTCGGCGCTTTGGCCCCTTGAGTGTGGCTCTTCTATAAAATACCACGTGCGGGCACGCACATACAGTGAGATTGAAACTTCGTGGTCCATGCTCTGAAGTCGGTTTTCAGCCTGGGCGAGTCTATTTTGAAGAAGTACTGTTGATATTTGGCTCTGTTGACTAATGAGTCTGCCAACCACTGGTTTGTGTGAAAGTACTTCATTGTTTGTTACATTTTCTGTCACTGAAATGAGACTTGCCCAGAGGGCATAAGGATGTGGATTGAATATAGAGTTGAAAAACCTGTTGTTACAAAATAGGTGAATGTACATTTCTTTTATCTTGAGCCATTGCATAACAGCTGTAATGAGTAAATCTTATGTGTTAAATATACTGTTTTATAAATCTTGATGTGTGCATGAAACTGAAACCATCATTCTACTCATAATACTGATCATATCTATGACTGTGTAGTTGCTTCATGACCTTATTTAATCTGTCCCTGTTCTTCACAGCTTTTCTAGTAACCAGGAATTTATATTTCATTTTAATAGCGATCTTAGCTTTTTCTAAGTATTTTTCTGCTTTAATTTATATTTTATAAATTCTTGGACATTTATTAAAGATATATTAGTAATTCATCTTTTTTTTTTTTGATAAATATTCTTTTTGTTGTTGTTGTTAATCCTCACCCGAGGATATTTCTCCATTGTTTTTTTGGAGAGTGGAAGAGAGAGGGAAAGTCAAGAGAAACATCAATGTGAGAGAAACACTTTGCTTGGTTGCCTCCTGCATGAGCCTTGACCAGGGACCGGGCTGGGAAGTAGTCTTGAACCAAGGTACCTGCCTTTGACTGGAATCCAATCTGGACCCTTCGGTCTAAAGGCCTATGCTCCTTCGAGAGATAAATCGACAAGGGCCCTGGTAGATTTTCTTGTCTTTGAATATATCACCAGCATGTGTCCATTTTAATAAATATTTGGTTATTTCTAATAAAGCTGGTACAACATTTTTGTATAATTCTTTTCATAGATACTAGAGGCCCAGTGCACAAAAATTTGTACACTGGGGAGGGGGTTCCTCAGCCTGGCCTGCGCCCATTCACAGTCCAGGACCCCTTGGGGGGGTCCACCTGTCGACTTAGGCCCACTCCCCGGGGGATCATGCCTAAGCTTGCAGTCACACATCCTTCTGGCAGCCAGGGAGCCCTTGGGGGATGTCCAACTAAAGGCTTCAGCCCCCAAGGGATCAGGTCTAAAGTGTTTGTTGGACATTTTTAGTGTTGCCACAGAGGTGGGAGAGGCTCCTGCCACCGCCACTGTGCTGGCCAGCTATGAGCCAGCTTCTGCTAAGTGGCACTCCCCATATGGAAGTGCACTGACCACCAGGGGGCAGCTCCTGCATTGAGTGTCTGCCCCCTGGTGGCCAGTGAGCATCATAGCAACCAGTCATTCTGCCATTCAGTCAATGTGCATATTAGTGTTTTATTATTATTATATAGGATGTTCCTGTTTCCCCCCTTTTGTCCCCTCTACCCAGCTCTTGCCCCCCACTTCTCTCTGGCCATCACCATACTGTTGTCTATGTCCATGGGTTGTGCATATATTTTCTTTGGCTAATCCCTTCTTTAAATTCACTTCTTTAAATTTTTATTTTCAGATAAGTGCTTATAACTGCACTATTA